TATATATATATATATAGCATAAAAAAACAGTACAGATACATGATTACAAGTAGCTATAATATATTAATAAAAATTATATATTTTTTTAATGTTTGCCCTGCATTTCTGCTACACAATTAAACAATTTACTAGCCACTTTTCACGTCTCTTTGCGACCAAGTACCAATTACTGTAATTGTATTGCAATGTACAGTATGTATGTACATATTATATTTATACATCACATCTAATCCCTATCATTTCTTATTTATTGTTTGTTCAGCATATTTTATTGCACTGTATAGGATGTGAAAAGGTAAAGTGTTACACTTTATGATTATTTTTCTTTGATTTTGTTTAAAATATGATCCAAATGGCAACACCAATGTCTTTTTATATTAGTTTAAGATTACTTTTATGCTGTTCTAGCTGGAATAACACTAGACTGCTGCAGGGATGACATATTTTTGTGGGCCAAAGCTCGGAAATGACTTAGCATTTTAGCACTTCTGGTTCATCACCCATCTGTTTTTACAGCCTCATTGTGTTTATAATTATAATCATGCTCTTGCAAACTATTCTAACTCAAAATTTCAGGGATTTTTTTTTTTTTAATGAAGACTGAAGAAGTTGTCAGAAGAGTAGTGATGCTGACATTGAAGTCACTGTGGTTCATTTATAGCTTATGTTTAGAAACCAGGTTGATGCTAACTTCTGGGTTGGCCTATAAAAATACATCATCATTGCAGCACTCTATTCATTCTAGCTGGAATGACAAACTCAACTTGACTTTACATACTTGATCCACTAGATGGCAGTAAAATCTAAGCATTGTCCTTCAGTGGAACCACGGAGCTTTTGTGCATCCAAGTCACCCTTTTAACCCAAAAGCAATTATTGTAATTAATTTGCAGTTACTTTTAACCCAGAAAGTAAATTGCCAATGATAAATTAGTAAAACAGAACACTGACATGATGGTGAACATCACTTACTATACTTCATTAACTACTGTGATTAAGGCAAGAAGAGGGCAGGCAAATGTGGAGTAATATGTAGCTCTCATTAATACATGATAACCATGTAAATACGGAAAATTGCAAGTGTTTGCAATTCCCCTCAAGAGCCCAAATCCCAAGTAAGTAATTCAAGTTTATTTATATAGCACATTTATCTCGGCAAAGCTGGCCAAAGTGATGAACAAAATCAAAGGGTTAAAACGAGTGCTGTCAAACGATTAATCGCATCCAGAATAAACGTTTTTGTTGACATAATATATATGTGTGTGTACTGTGTATATTTAGTATGTCTATATAAATACACACACATACATGTATATATTTAAGAAAAATGTGTTGTTTATATATTAAATATATTTATCTGTAATATAAATAATATAAATATAAATATATACATTTAAATACATGTAAATATTTGAAAAATATATACTGTGTGTGTGTATTTATATATACATAATAAATATACACAGTACACACACATATATTATGTAAACAAAAACGTTTATTTTGGATGCGATTAATCGTTTGACAGCACTAGTTAAAACATAAAACAAGCAAGACAAACCATAAAACAGTAAAACAATAAAAACATAGATAAAATCCAATTAGAATGAAGAAGAGGTCATTTAACACAACAAAATATACTTGCAATTACAAAAGCTGATATTCAGTTTTTCATGTTTCAAAACTGAGTATTATTACAAAATCACATATTTGACTCGGATTTCTGTGCAATCTGTGTGCCAGACAAGGATGTCATGTGCCCTGGGGCTGTGGAGCAGAGAGCAGCTCTTAACTGTCAAAATAAGCAGGAGGAGGCAGAAAAAATGGCTGCTACGCTGCCCTCTGGACTCAGACAAACAGACTGTCTGACACGAAGGCACAGCTGTCTAGAACCCTCTGCCTGTGTGTGTGTGTGTGTGTGTGTGTGTGTTTGTACACGTGTCTGAGATGTGTGACTCTCACCTGCTTCCTGTGCAGATGGTTGGGACATTCTCTGCAGTGGCAAATGTGATGCATTCAAAGGAGCTTCAACTAAAAATGACCAAATACACAAACAACAAATATAATTAATATAAAAGGTATTAATGGTATTTCCATAAAATAATTGTTTTTGTGTGATTCTGCACGTGTTTAAAGGTCCAACAAAAATCCAAAACAAACAAAATAGCTTAGCACACCTTGGATAACACCTACAGATCACTGCAAAAATATCCAGCACAAATAAAAAGGTTTTCTGATATTATCAACAAGCAGGATGTGTGACTCATCTCACCAGGCTTGATGAGAGGTTCTGTTTTGGGTTTGGCTTCTTCTTCCTCTGGCTTTAATGGAGCATTTTGTTCCATGTGGTTTGAGGCAGCTAAAAAGAGGAAAGAAAATGAAAAATTAGATCATCTTTGTTGTCCTGTTGTTACAGGAGAGTCCCTTTCTCTCAGGTAGCACTATTAGTACTATTAACATGTTTCCTGTCTGTCTGGTTTTCCAAGTTTAATACTTGGAATAACCCCCTTTTTTCCCAGTCATGTCCTGGCTGGGATTTCTAAATTGCCTAAAATGAAGTTTAACCGATAGCATGTGTGATAAGGTGGGGTCTGCAGGGAACGGTCAAAGCTATGCAAATTTGTGTCCATATAATGTATGAGGATGGTAGAGAGCACATCGATATAAAAACCTAGGCAATCTAGAAATTCCAGCCAAGACATGTCCATGAAAAAGAGGACATATGGTCACCCTAAGTACTGATGTATTCAAACATATGCTTAAAATCAACTATTTAGCACTTGACACCATTTAAACATTATTTGCACTTCTTTTAATGTATTTTACATTTGACATGACTCTTCCTTAGTTTTAATTTTGGCTATATTTTTGTGTATTTCATTTTAGTTTAGTAGTCATTAATTTCAATTAAAAAAATAATAGTGTAGAAACAATTTTCACTCAGAAACCGCAAGTAAATTTCACAAACAGTTACAAAGAAACAGCAAGTAATTAAATGTGAAATTTTGAAGAAAAACTAATTATATAATTTTACAATCATCTTTATGCAATTTTATAACAAATTTTAATAGGCCTATATATGTCTGTAGCATCTATGGTACTGTATGTGGAATAGTCATCTACAACTATAGTTTTAGTCAAGGGTTTTTTGTTTGCCAAATTTTTGTTGTTGTTTTCACCTTCTCTCTGACCTTTAACAGGCTGCTGTCCCTTTAAGACATCTGTGTAAATGCCCTCTTCACATGTGAAATTGGATACAGTGCTGCTCTAACACATACAAGCTGTCTGTTTGCTGTTGGGTCCAGTATAGTTTTAACCTCCTTATCCTTCGAGGATAATTTGATTCCTAATGATATGACCCCTTTAGCACTAAATGCACTGAGAAATTTTCTACATTTGCAGTTCTGCAATGACTCTGGCTGTTCAAATTACTGCTAAAAAACAGAATGTGGACTGAATTACAATAGGCTGAATTAAAAGTGCTAATTGCACTATGGAATGAAGGTTATTGAGATCAGAATACAAAAAGGCTGTAACCTTTGTCATGCAGATGACTTTAATCACAGGGCTTGTACAAAAACAATATGTCATTATTGAAAATTGCAGAGAAGAGAAATGTTATGTTGCTGGTACATACGTAGACATCTCTTATGGCATTCTTTTATGGTTTTGAAGTTGTTGGCATTCCCAAAGCAGCCACCATAAAAGAATCGCTTGCATTCCTGGCTCTTGTAATCAAAATAATAACGAGGCACCAGTCCTCGACACGGCCCCGGCTCATCCTCCAGATGGCATGGACTCTTATCCTCTACAAAAACAAGTAAAAAGATGGGGCAGACCATAAATCGTGTAATTCTTTATTTAAAGCTTCTTTTTCATCAACTGTAAACATGAACATAAATTAAAAGTGTTAGTAGTGATTTTTGTTTTCATGCTTTGAAATATCATATATAGGGTAGTTTTTCAGCAAATTTTCCATCTTGGTGTGAACTATTACTTTAATTTTACAGCTCAGGGTAAGGATTTAAAGCACTTTTTTGTACACCATTTTTATGCAAGAATTACAACTAGACAAATATTGGAATTGAATACTAAAGCAGCAGCTTTCAGCAGAACCAGCTCTACCGTCCGTCCCCTTAACAAACACCCTGGCCATAAGCCACAGACAGGCTGGAGTGATTGATATATTCCAGCTCCATCTATAGCACATGCCCTGTTGATAAATTAATGGCTGGATTCCAAAGTTCCACAGATTAAAAAAATCACTTAATTTCCTGCCACGGTTTTGCCCTGTAAAGCAGAATTTATTTATGGCCATTGCTAATTAAAATATTTCACTTAAGTGGTCATTCATCATGGAGAAAGGCAGCTTTGATCCAATCAGCTGGGAGAAATCATCAGGGTATTTTGTTTTTCTCTCTTCTTTCGGATAAATCGGATTTAGGAGGAACGATAGGTTGCACTAACCTGATCATAAATGTCACAAAGTGACCATACAGATTAAAGCCGGTTGCTGCTTTTGGATATTATATAAGTCAATGTTAATTGCAGTCTCACTTACTGCTTGAAAGTGATTAAAATGCGATTATGGTCAGGACAAAAATTTTGAGTAAGCAGAAAATAAAACTGCTTTTGGTCCATACAACAGAAGTCAATAAGGCCAAAAACAACACTGAAGCTCACCAACTTTAACATAACAACATATATATTTCTTCAAAATAGCACAAAATAAATGATGACATAAAGGTGTAGTTCACTCTAAAATGCAATATAACAATATTTTCATCAGATTTTATTTGCTGGTTTATCCCAGTGATTCAAAAACTGCTGAATTTGATAAAACTTGCATGCAAATTGACAGATAACATACATCAAGACCTTACACAATTTCCACACTTTGTTGTACATAATAAAATGGGAGTTTTACATTATTCTTACATAATAAGAAAATAGCATATTTTCTTAGCGATAGATGCTATTTACACTCAGTGAAAATAGCAGTATTTTTTAGTGATATGCTATTTACACTAAGTGCAAATAGCTATAGATAGTTAAAATAGCAGGATATTCTGCTAATTACTTATTGCAAATAGTGTTCATTATCTGCACCTCAGCATTGTAATACATTATAAAACAGTGTGCAATAATAACTTATTGAGTGTAAATTTTAATTCAAATTATTAAATGGATGCCACTTTACTGGGACAAAAGCCCTCCCTACACCTAACCCTACCCAATACTTTATTTTCAACTTTTTGATTACTTCCTTCATTTTTATTAAAAAGAAATGCTTTTCTGATGTGATTTGAAATCTGAAAAGGTAGAAAAAAAGTTCGCCAAAAGGCAGATTCGAACCCAGGTCGATCACGTCAAACGAAGTATGACACACGCTTTACCATCTACGTCACTGAATCCTACGATTAAAGACCGTCTTTTGTAATGTTGACTATCCCAATCACACGTTGGTGGGTGGAGTTAGTGTAAATAGCCTCTGCCAACAAGGCAGGCTATTTGCACTTAGTGTATATAGACACTCAGATTTTTTTTTAAATTCCCAACAGTTAAACAGATGCCCACAGAAAAAAAAAAAAAAAAAAAGCACCCCCACTTCCCGCGCCTATGTTAGATACTGTGTTCTGATACTCTACGTCCCAGACAGTCGTCCTGACCGAGAGCGGTAGACAAATGCTAATTAAGCTTAGCAAATGACCACTCACATACAGCACTGATCAAAAGTTCACATTCACAAGGACAATTAATAAACGGAATTAAATTAACTGAATTAAAATGCTACAAATTAATTATGCGGTTTTAAATGGTCGTAGTCAATATACTTCCGACTTCTAGCAGAAGTGTAGATGGGATGCATCTAGAACACTTACCAAAATTAATAATTCAAAACTGCTGTTCTCCTGAACAGCCTCTTGGGTAATTTTTAGGAAAGGAGATTGTCTTGATGACAGGCTAGTGTCTCTCATTCCATGTATCATTTACTCACAAGGACATGACTTATGCGCAATATGTTTAACTGAGTGCTCATTAAAAAAGATGGCAGCAAGACAGCTACTTTCAAGTAGGTTCTGCGCCAGCTGAGCAATTCCCATTGAGATGAATGTAAATGCTATATGGATAGCTCTCACAACACATAATACACCTCATTGACACAAACAAACAAATTTAAATTCCATCTATCGCCAGCAGAGGCACAAAAATACACATATCACCAATGGGACACGTCTCAAAACACATATCAAAATGTAAAACAAAATATTTCTTAAGAAACTGGTTTTCTAGGGGAAAAAACATTTATAAAATGATCTTTCTCTCCCAGTTGATCTATCTCTTTCTCTGTCTTATACTTTACATACAAAAACACAAACAAACCACTCTTTAAAGTGCACTGATGATTTGATTCACTAGATGGAGACATTTGTCATTTCTCACAGTGGTTTATTATCTGATGTTTGTTCCATATACTCAGTGATTCTCTTTGAATCTGAATTTTAAGTGCATAAATGCAAACAGCGAGAGCTTGTTTAATTGTTGCTTTTTAATTTAGAAGATGCTTTTATCCAAAGTGACAAACAAATTAGGAACATGACAAGCAAGAACCAAAAATACTCACAGTACCCGCAATGCAGTTACAGTGCAGAGAAAACAGAGAGGAAGAGGATTTTTTTTTTTATAAAAAAGGGGGGTTATGCTTGAGATATGCACATAAAGAGGTCTGTCTTGAGTAATTTCATGAAGGTTGTTATTGGCATCTATTGTTCATGAAGAACCTTCAACCATGCACTCTTAAAAACAGAGTAGCATTGGCATTGATGGTTCTATTAAAAAACTTTAACATCCATGGAACCTTTCCATAGCAGAAAAAGTTCTTTAGATTATTAAAAATGTCTTCATTCTAACACAAAAAAGGTTCTTTTAAGGTTCTTCACTGAAAGGTTCCCCAAAAATGGTTCTTCTATGGCATCGCTGCGAAAACCCCCTTTTGGAACCTTTATTTTTTATAACCTATAACCTTCCTTCTTTTTAGTGGAAAAGGGGCTTTTTAGAAGAAAAATTATTCTTTTAAAAACTGATTGATCACTGAAAGTGTCTTTGGGGAACCCAAATGGTTCTTCCATAGCATTGCTGCAAAAAAAAAAAAAAAAAAAAAAGCCCTTTTGGATTTTTTTTTTTTTTTTTTTAAGAATGTAGCAGGCAGTAACATCAGAGCATTGACCAAGAGGAGTGTGACATAAACCTTCTTTGGTTCATTGAAGACCAGATACTGTGTTAGAAGGGTTGATATGTTTAAAGTGTTAAATGCTCCCTCTATTACTAGGAAAAGCAAGTTTGGTGGCCACAGAAATTAGAAACTGACTTGGCAGAGCTGCAAATAATCAGGGGCATGTGGTGAAGAGTGCAGAAGAAATGAATCCAAACACAGCAGTCAATTTCCTCTTCTGCCTCCATGGGGGATCTTTGGCAATACTTCGCAGGCATTTACGAGGGCTCATGTCCTTGGAGGTGTTTGTCCAAATGAGCCGCAAAGTTTCTGTTTTCCCCACTCTGTGGCTGTGATGGGACTGAGGCTTGTTTAGCAGTCACATGACAGAGTCTGTTTTGTGCTGATTATTATGATGACCTCTCACAGGAGGCGACGTTGCAGGGGCCCTTCCAAATCACAATGACCCCCACTGGAAAGCGTAATGAGATATGACTCACCCAACCAACCAACCAAAGTGCTGTAAATGATCCAATGTGGCCTGACTTTACTGTGAACTGCACATTTGTCCTTGTTTTATTAGGAAAAGGACCAAGAGTTCCTTATTATTCTTGTTGAAATAATCAGATTGCCTAAATGGTATCTTTCATCTCTCTCATCTCAGCTTTGACTTGTTGCCATGAATTTGCCTCTGCGACCTCGAGTAATTTCCATTTCTGCCTTTATATACTAATTTAATGCCAATATTGAAGATGAAACAATAGCATTAGAATTCTTTGTATTCATCAAAGCTTTGCTTTGAAAGGCTACAAAAATACATGCATTATTCCATGTATGGCTTCCAACATATCTAACATACACAATAATGTCTTTGTTTAAAAGCATGAAGGTTTTCTGAACAAAACAACTGTTCTTCTCTTCTTAACTTGGCCCCGTGTTTTTTAAAGTATCTTTCATACCCTCTACAAAGTAATATGGTGTAGGTTATAATTATAACACTTGCTGAGTCTAAACTGATCCATAATTGCAGTACCACACCAATGCATTACATTATTGTTTTTTATGGGATGTTAACGAGTTGTTGGGAATGACTCCCTCATGGTGAACTCTTCACTCTTCCCATAAAAGTATATGGTGGAATGCGTGTTATTTCTATGGTTATAAAACAAGAAGTAGTTTTTGATGCTGATTGGTCAATACAGCATTCCAGCCGTTGCAAAGTACAGATATTACGTACAACACCCACATTACTGTGTTGCACCCATAGACTAATGTGCTGTTATTGTTTACATGTCAGTGACTTAAGTTGTTACTGTATGCTGATAGCAAAAGAGATTGAATTTGATTAAATTTATTTTACTATAGTATAAATGTTGTTATTGTTTATATACAATAACAGTATATAATAAAATATTTTGAGTTAGCATTTATTTTTATACTTTAAGTTTTAATTTTAGTTAACGTTTTATGTAATTTTGTTGTGTGCTTTTGTCATTTTAATTATTTTTTTAATATGCCTATATAGCTTTAATACAGTTTTATTTCACTTTTAGTAATTTTCTAGGTTATTCATTTAATATTTATATTTTATTTTGTCAAAAATTATTTTTTAAAAGTTTCAGTGTTAATTAAAGGCACAATATGTAAGATTTTTTAATTAAAATATCCAAAAACCACTAGAACAGTGTTATATATTTTGCTGACTTGTGTACTTACATTATCCCAAATGTTTCGAAGTATGTTTAAATCCGGAGAAATAAGCAATTTTAACTAGTGACACGGCCCGTGTCTATAGTGTCATTGTGTCGCCTGCTAATGATGTCATAACCCCTCGATTTCCGGTTGTAGAAAATATGGAAACACCAAAGATGCTTTAATATGTTGTGCGTTTTAATAGACCGGTGACGACCGCACAGAGTAGCATTATAACAGAACTTTCAGATGTATCTAGTATGATAAAACAGCGCTGCTTTTTTTCCCCCACATACGCATGACCGGAAGAAGCAGAAGCGGTCGACTGTGGCATAATAAGAGCTCCGCTGCTTTCGAGCCGTGTGTCACGCTCATTCAGCGGCCTCGTTTCACTTCGACGGCTTTCAGCCTCACCCTGCTTCATTCTACTATGTTAATAAATCATTAGCTCATCCATGAACATGATTTCTGCCCGAGTCCCGTCGGATTGCATCGGCTGTGGGGATGAAGACGACAACTCCCATGATTCCACACTCAGTCACGGCGTCATCAAACTACGCCTTTGCCTTTGTTTATTTTGAATACGCGCCCTCCAGTGGCGAAAATTACATATTGTGCCTCTAACAGTAACATCACTGTTAGAAAAATGCAAAACAGAAGCACTTTCACTAGTACTTTCAGACTTTTGGAACTTGTTGTACATAATGAATTTAATTGTTTATTAAAATAATCAAATTCCCTAATATTTTTGTTATGTATTGGGCATTTCATAAAAGCAGTGAACCCCTCAAAACCTTGCAATATTGTGAGTAAATACACTGCTGCGCACTGAACCTAAAAACGCTCCTTAGCTCTGACACGTTCACAATATAGCACAGTCTCTCATAACATATTGCCAAATACTATATTAGTAATCTTTGCTTTTACTTTGCCCAAGATATGCTTATCGGGATTGCTGTTTGTAGCATGGGTGTGTGGAATACTGTCATGACACATGAGTCTGGGTCAGGCCATCCAATATACTGAGAGAAAATGGAATTGGCTAACACGAAAGCCTCTTCCTCATTCCGAAAGATGCACTGAATCTAAAGGTTATTTTACACAAGTTATGAAAAAAAACAGTCATATTTGTATTTGTTTTTGTTTGTCATAGAAGAGCACAAGTCAGGTAAATATTGCCTTACCTTTCACAAGACACATTTCCTCACACACCTGCAGGGTCTCAAAATTGTTTGCATTGCCTTGGCAGCCTCCGTATTCAAAGAGTTCACAGCGACCTGTGTCAATGTCAAAGTAGAACCTGTCCTTTATTGCCTTGCACGGCCCTTCGTCTTTCTTCAGGGCGCATGAGTGATGGAATATGTGGAGTTCAGACCTCACTCCATCTGCTGAGGGTGGAATGAAGCCAGAAGTTATAATTTGCTTCGGACATAATTCACAAAACTCTGCGTGGTAAATTTAAGCCAACTATAAGCTCTCACCTAAGGCTTTGTAGGGGGTGAAAGAGCTTTCTGGCACTGGAAAGTTATTATACACCTACTTTTAATAGAGCTAGAGCATTTGCTCAAAGAGGTCTCATTGACATGACAGTCTGTAGATTTGAGGGATCTGACAGCTTTGCCCTTGGTGTTTAACGCTTGGTTAAATCAGGACGAACCTCCTACACTTTTCCACTCTCAAGCCAACGAGGAAGATAAAGCACTCTTTCTTGAATGTAAATTTGTATGGTTTAAATCAAATCGTTTTTTCCTTTTCCCCAGCAACAGGTTCTTAATCCCTACCAAGAACCAACCGTATTAGTTTGTTCTAAGAGCATGCTGGGTGAAGTGAACTCTGCAGTCCTTCCTGTTCACACAACAAGGACTGAATCCAATGTGCCACAGACTAAAGTAACAGATGGCCTTGGACTTGAGTGACAACTTCCTGCGGGCGGTTGGATCACTTATCTTGTCACATCCTGATGTTCATCTCCCCAAAGCTCTCCACTCTAAAATACTCTCTCCACACTGCCCTCGGGTTGGAGAGAGGTATTCCACATGCTCTGGATAAAATTCTTGCCTGCACAAAAGCAGGAAACACACACCCCATAGCATACGTCTTGATGGGGTTGCCATTGTAGAAAAAGAACTAAAGCATCAATATTCTTATTTGCGTCATTATTTAATGCAGACAGAGAAGAATGCTCATAGAGGCTACATTCATTTGAAAAAAAAGTAATATTGTGAAATGTTACAATTTAAAATTACAGCGTTCTATTTTAATATATTTTACATTATATAATTTATTAATACATGCAGTTATTATTATTTATTTTATAAAATAATTTATTCCGGTGATGCAAACCTGAATTTGTCAGCATCATTACTCCAGTCTTCAGTGTCACATGACACTTCAGTGTATACAAACACATTACCATAAACATATAAAAAGTCCTGCACATTGTCATATGTAGCTTGAGAGACTACAGCCTTCTTCAGGATTTTTTTTTTTCTTCTAGATAATTACATTAATTATGTGAGCCAAAATTGCAGAGGACTTGTTTTGTTCTCCATTTCCATGGACACAGCAGCTCTTTTAAGACAATGAGTTTTGTGTACTTCCTTTACAATTTAACTATTATTACTACTATTACAATTTGTACCATTTAAACAAGCTATTTCTGTGTATCATAACACAGACAATACCTGGACCTGCAGACTTCCTCCAAAAAACTTAATGTCTATAATGGAAAAAAACAGATCTGGCTGTTAAAATTTCAACTGCCAGCTGCTTTTTTAGCCCAGCATGAATTTTCTGTTCTGCTTGGATTCACCTCAATTTCGATAGTGGTCAGAACAACCCAAAACTGGTACTTTGCCAGACTCATTGCCGATGCTGAGCTCGGGCAGGTTGCCCCATGTTGAGACTCAGCCCTTGCTTGTTTTATACCCGTCATGAAAGAGAGATGTTGATTTTATCACAAGGTGGAATTTAGCACATCGGTCAGTATCTGAAAAGAGTAAAACATTCATGAACTCTCAGTCTGACGGAAGGCACGATGCATGTAAATATCTGTTTACAGGTGTCAACGTCATGTTTGCTCAAGGTTTGCTGTTAGTTACCTGAGCAATACCAACGCAATGATTAATAACACCGTCAGCACAATGATAACATAATAAGGATGAGTGGCAAAGTATTTGTCATTTGTAAATTAGTAACCAGCGAGTCAGTTTTATAACATATTAAGAACTGTTCATTTGTCAGAACATATCACTGATAGAAATACAGATGTGTGTTAGAGAGTAGTCACAGAAGGTGAGGTTTTATAGAATGAGGGTATGATTCTACCAGTCTGAGTCATATTTCGGATTATCTGATTCAGTCAGCAGATACAGTCTAAAGTTGATGGGCACATATACAGTATATACTGTATATACTTGATACATTCAATACTGTACTTGATATATTCAATCAAGTGACAAAAAATGAACTGAATCATGAGGCTGTGGTTGATGATTTGATGTAAGGTCAAACTCTAAGGAAAAGGAAGGGCAAGGCAGCCTGGTTATCTTGATGAATATGGCAACATGGCCTTATACAATAATCAAACTACTGTTCCTTAAAGGCCAACGTAAGCCTGGAATACACTACATGATTTTTGCCCCAATTTTCCGCCAATTTACAGTCTGGAGAAGTTGATGCTAGATGCCAAAAGTCAGAGCCAGTCTGCAGATTTGAGTTGACATTCCATAGAAAATCGCATAGTGTACGGTGGTCACAGACTCTGATTTTTTTTAGCTCCAGACTCTTCAGACTCAGAGCTCTCAGATTCTATCCAGTCGGAGGCTATCAAACATATTTGACATTTTCAGCTGATTTTAGAGCACATATTGTTTTCATTTTCTCACATATCTCCTAGCAACAAAGCACATGTTTTTGTATGAGTTTGTTAGTCTGGTAGTGTATGATCCTCAGTCATGTGGTCAGTTTTCCTTTGTCACTATTTGCAAAGTCGGTAAGTGTATGATGCCTAGTGTTTGATTTTAAAAGTCATGTAGTGTATTCCAGCCTTTGGTAATTTTTCTGTCACTTGTGTTACCAAACACCAATCCACATTGTTAATAATAATAAATGTATCTAGAGCATTGACTCGGTATATACAAAATTGCTTTTTTTAGAAGCATCATGTGACACTGAAGACTGGATTAATGGCTGCTGAAAACTGAGCTTTGCCATCACAAGAATAAATTAGATTTTAAAATTGTATAAAAATGGAAAAGTTATTTTAAATTGTAACAATATTTGAAAACATTCTTATGTTTACTTTTAAACAAAACGCCTATATATACTGTAGGGGTCTTATTGATGGGGGTTTATATGAATGTATTTCTGAGTGTCTTTCTTATTGTCTTCATTTCATTATACCTCTGTATAATGCTTTTTAAAGTTGTGCTTATAAGCGCAGAGCTGGTTTGTTTACAGCGGTATCCAAGAAAACACTGTATTTCTGCTGTTCCCTAAGCACCACCTGCTGTCAAGAGAGTGAATTAACATTTTCATTTAGCCATTCTGCTGTTTTTGTTTTGTTCAGAATCAGATAGGTTTTATGTAGCATAATTTCACAAAGCTAAAGTCAGACCATTTGGTTTTTGCTTCAAAGTTTGAAATTATATAAATTATATCGAATTTAAATCTGAAACTGCTCATTACTGTATGCAGCATCATTGTTTGGATCATGATTAAAATGCAATGGTTGCCTCTAATTTTAAATGGCTACATAAAGTTCGGCCTGAAATAGAGCAAATAAACATCGTTCATGTACTCATATTTTCATTCTTTCTTCTCTCTTGGATAAAATTAATAAATAAATAAATAAAATAAAATAAAAAAATCGGCTATATCAGAATTAGGCCGTTTGCTTGTAAAACACTGGCAATCGAAATCAGCCATGGAAAATCAGGATCAGTACATCAACAAGAAATGCCAGGACAAGTGTGTGGAAAAGAATTCAGGATCAGGTTCGACTGATTGCTTTTAATCGGCATGATGTTGCCGGCCATTCCTTTCGATTAGCAGTTGTGGTGCTCCTTAATTTTCAGTGGGCACTCCTAAAATTTTGCTGGTGCTCCTAACTTTTTGAAGTTGGGAGCACCAGTGCTACCAAGTAAAAAAGTTAATTCTGAGCCCTGACTGGGGTAGGAGAAAGTATGTTAACAGATAAAAAACAGAAAAATCTATACAGGTGTTTTGTTTTGTTTATGCTGTGCATTGACTTGTAACAAAGTTTTGACTTATTTCGCTTTACTATTGCCAGGCGTCCAGGCTTGATCCATGTCTAGGCCTGTTTACCGTTGGCATTGCAGATCGTCTTTGTCTACAAAATCCTCCACCTCAGCAATGGCTGCAACACTTTCAAATCCCAGATAGGTCTGAACTTGTTTATTCTACTACCGTTCACAGATAACAACAATGGGTGACCTAGTAAACCTTGTCGTGTCGGATCCCATGAAACTCATGCGGGACAGAAAATCCTCCTCGTTGTCACCTGGTGCAATTATCTGAGGTCTGCAGTGCAGGGCTCGCTGAAGCAAATAATCCTGTACACCCCAATTAATCATTGTCAGGTCTGCAACTGACTGCATGAGAGGATTCTGGCTCTTTAAATGAGTGTGTGGTCACTGGTCTGTTCAACCATATGGGACACCTGATAGAGGGTTAGAGGGGAAAAATATCCCACAGCATCCCATGAGGAGCTCACTGGTATGCTGTAGAGCAAGTTAAAAGGCATAACTGGTTGATCTCTATCTCTTTCTGCAATAAGTCTGTACACAATACAGAAAATGGGAAATTGAGAGCACTGATCTCCCTTTAAGCACCACGAGGCAGTTGACGTAAACGTGTGCAGGCAGGAATACATATAGGGCAAATAAATCAGCATGGTTTAAAGGCCTCGTATTGAATACAGATTTGTATTGTACAAGGATATTTACAGACACTTTCAGTCAATTGCTTGTTCATTCCTCTGATATATGGTGTCTACAATGGAAAGATCTTTAAAAGTCATTTTTAACCATTCACGTTGTGATGTTACATTCAAACAACTATGGGTGATTACCTTTATACACTTTATGGTATTTGTTTTTTAATTATGACTACATAACTTCAACATGGCTGACAAAACCAAGTGCCAAGGACCTCTGGAATATCTATCTCTACCTTTTCAAGGAGACCTAGGCTGGTAATAAAATGTTATAGAAAAAAAATGTGATTGTGATTTAAAAACATTTTCAAAATTAAGAATTACCAAATTAAGAATCTTAACCAAACAATGTAAGCATATTTTATAGAAATGGCAATAGGGTAGTCATACAATCTGTTTTATACAACTCAACTCAACTCAACATGGTGTAACTCTCTTTAAAATGATGTTTGGAAAATAATTTTCTCAAGAGAATATTCTAAGAAG